AGTGGGAAAACTGATATATCCCAATTTCAGACACCACTGGAATGCAGCAATAAGCCAAATTCCCCTTCAAGTTTTTTCTTTGAATTTTTAGGAAACTGCCCCATATTCCCTGGCCTGGTCTTCCCTCTGTGTAATTTTGTAAACAGTCCATTGTTCTCAGGGCCCCTCAGTGAAATTTCTAGGAAACAGCTCTGTGTTCCAATGGCTCCATGTTTCAGCCTCAAATGACCTTAATTTAGCTTCCTCAGGCGAAGCTTTTACTCAAAAAGTGTATTTAATCATGAGCTTGTGTTCTCAAAAAGTTTGCGTAGCTCACTAATTAGCTCACTAGTTCACTAGCTGATGGAAAAGTATATTCCTAAAAAACTGCCTCTCTCACATGTATGTTTCCTTTTTTCTACAGCAAATGGGTTTTGGCTAGCAGGGAGCTAACATTACTGCTACTGAGTGCTGATTAGTTAGCATTACTGGTACTGAGTGCTGATCGATTGCCGGAGCAGTGGAGCAGCTCATTAGCTGTTCGCACTCACTGATGTCATTAACGTACATGAGGCGCTGTTTTAAACCCCTATAACGTGAGTTTGAAAGCTCTTAAAAATATAACAACAGTGTTAAAATGTTTTATGCTATTCTGTGTTCAGGAAATAAATGGATTCTTTTACATTAAAAATATTTAAGCATTTATAAACTATGATTTTGCTGAAACGCTCCATCCTAACCCATTCATTTTGGACTCGCTCGGGAGCGCCCTCTACATCAGCATAGCTAAAAAAATTAGAAGCTGTCCCGAAATCACAATTTTGTCTGTACTATAGTCTTTTATATTATATTATATTTTACACCACATCATACAGTTCAGTAAAGTTAAAGTGGAAGTATGAAGTGTATATTTAGTCATTAAGAGTTGAACCGATAGAGGAACACTGTTGAATAATATATTATAATAAAACTAATATATTATAATAAAACATCCTCTTTTTCTTTATGTGGTGTCTGTTGTGCGTCAGTTTCTATCCGAGGAGGAGTCCAGGCAGAAGCAGGAGCGCATTAGACTGCAGGAGACCCAGGAGAAACAGCTGAAGGAGGCGCAGGAACAGTGTGACACTAACGCCGCTGAGCTCCAGCAGCTGCAGGTTAACCAGCTTCTTATGCATTTAAACCAGCATTCTGACAGACTGGTTTATGGGGAGGTGGGAGGTGAAGGGCGCTCCTGTAGACAGGCAGAGGGCTCAGTGTGGTATCAGTGTCATCTGCATGGATCCTAAATACCTAAGAATTTAACAGCTTCTCAAGCTTAAGTTTAAAAGTTTGTGAAGAAAATGTTCTTTTAATATGGGCACAAGATAAACTAGAGAATAACGTGTGACTTCAGAGGTCTGTGGCAGAGCAAGCTTATTTAGATACATGTAAATAACAGCAAAAGGAACATTAAAAAGGAATAATTAAGTGCTTAAAAACAATAACATAAAATGAAAAATAAAGTACTGAAAGATACAAAGTGCAATAGCTTTAAAACTAATTAAAAGCACACACAAAAAAAACATAAAAGCAAAATAAATAAAAAACAAAAAAGGACAGGCTAGTTTGGACTCTACTAGCTCTACTAGCTTTGCTATATTCACAAATCTAAGACACCTACTTGGTTAATATTCTTTGAACATGTCTGAGATGTATGGCTGGAAGTCAGAGAGAAAATATGGTTAAAAAAGTCTCGTCTGAAGATTGGTTTCATGTAATCTGACAAGCTGCACTTTCAAACTTTAAACTCATTATTTATTACTTTTGTGCGCTGCTGACAGCTATGGTGCTTATTATTTTACTCTGTGAGGTGCGTTCAAGTGCACAATGTGCATTCTGTGTTTCAGAACGAGAAGCTGCAGGTCCTGGTGGAGATGGAGAAGAAGAAGATCAAATGCCTGGAAGATGAACACACACTGGAGCTGAACGAATGGAGGGATAAACTAGCCTGCAGGAAAGAGGTAAAGGGAGATAATGAGAACGTGGATGTGAAATACAATCTGGCAATCTCTTGTAGCTCCACCGTGCTGGTGTTCAGTTAGAGACTGTAGAACATCTGTTGATGTACAGATTGTGTTAATCAACCTCCTGTCCTTCATCAGTGGTCAGTTTCTGACCACAGTGAGTAGAAGCAAAAGCAGTTGCTTCTAATAAAGTGGCCAGTCAGTGGAGGCACAAGGTAGGTGTTTCTATTAAAGTGGCAAGTTAGTGGAGCACAAGGTAGGTGTTTCTAATAAAGCAGCCAGTCAGTGGAAGCACAAGGTGGGTGTTTCTAATAAAGTGGCCAGTCGTGGAAGCACAAGGTGGGTGTTTCTAATAAAGCGGCTGGCTAGTGGAAGCACAAGGTGGGTGTTTCTAATAAAGTGGTCAGTTAGTGGAAGCTTTTAGTCTGAAAAGTTAATGCGACAGTTTAAGTTTGGTCTAAAGTGATGGAATTTGATATAAACATGCGTTTATGATTTTTATACGTTTATGTGTGTGCAGGCATTAGAAGAGGATCTGGCTCGTAGAAGGAGAGAATATGAAGGAAGCAGAAGAAGAGGCAGTGAGCCTGAATCTCGACATCAAGCGCGACGCTCCAGATTCTTTCCCAGCCTCAGTTTCTCTTAAATAAGGACATTACAAACAGCATGGAGAACACTGTGCACTTGCCACAGCACATCTGAAACATTTTTAATGTAAAATGTATCTTTAAATATGTACATATTTTTTATTGGTCAATCTTAGATGTACTCTAATGCACAACCTCAGTTTGTCCAGATGCAGAACAAGCTCAGTGCTGCATTTCTATATTGCAATGAAGATGTTATGGACACATGTAAACATATGTATATATAGATATTGAATTAGTCATTTAATTAGTACTCAAATCTAAGCTTATTTGTTTAAAAAGGAAAAACCTGAGGGAAAATTAAAGTATTTTACACCCATATATGTTCTTTTGAGATGTACTTCATTTTCTATGTTTCACAAGCGCACGTCTAACTGTGTGATTCACGACATACAGATTAGATTTTCTAATGTGTCCTCCACTCCCCAAAACAAAGCAATTTCCAGGAAAGAGTGGATGGAGCTTATCGGAAAAGCACTTCCTCACATTAACTGTTGTAAGACAGTGAAATGAAAAATAACTCATTTAAAATGGAAAGATTAGCACAGGGCAAATATCCAAACTATAAATGATGATGATCACAGAGTTGTCATTTTCAATACTGTAAAATACAGGTTAAATTATAGTGCAATTTATAGTTAGAGCAAAAATTCACAGCAAACTACTGTATACATATTTACAGTTTTTACTGTTATATGCTGTGCATTGTGTGTGGTTATGTAGCTGTGGATGTATTTACAGTAAGTTACTGCACAATTTGGACTAAAAGGGGCAGGTTGACGTTGGCTAAGCAGTAATCTGGTTGTTCATGGCTCCTTTAGTATTAAAATTAAAATAAGATGTATTCAAAACAGTAACACAAGTATTACAGACTATCCCATGAAAGTATATTTTAGCATTATCAGCAGTGCAAATGAAATGTTTATGTCAAAAAGTGACAGCACAGTAAAAAACAGCAGCTGCTATAAACAGAAGACTTGATTGCTTAAAGGCCCGTATACCCTCTTAAAAACATGGTTCTTCAAGGGTTCTTTAGTAGAGACAGTGGTGCTATATAGAACCCTGAACACTCAAAGAACCATTTGCATGCTTAGATGGTTCTTTGCATGGTGAACATGTTCTTCAGAGTGATAGAGAATGCATTGAATATTGTTCTATATAGCACCAAAAAGGGTTCTGCTATTGTTACAATGTTATGCTAGTGTCCACAGAGGAATCCTTCTTGGTGCCCTATAGAACCATTACACTACACTCCTAAAAAACACGGTTCTTCAAGGGTTCTATAAGGTACAATTTCATGCTTAAGGGTTCTTTGCATGGTGAAAAGATTCTTCAGGTTGATGGAGAATGTGTTGTATATGGTTCTGTATAGCACCAAAAGGGTTCTGCTATTGTTACCATGTCATGCTTGAGTCAATAGAGGAACCCTTTTTGGTGCCCTATAGAACCATTACACTACACTCTTAAAAAAGATGGTTCTTCAAGGGTTCTATAAGGTACAATTTCATGCTTAAGGGTTCTTTGCACGGTGAAAAGGTTCTTCAGGTTGATGGAGAATGTGTTGTATATGGTTCTGTATAGCACCAAAAAGGGTTCTGCTATTGTTACAGTGTCATGCTTGTGTCAATAGAGGAACCCTTTTTGGTGCCCTATAGAACCATTACACTACACTCTTAAAAAAGATAGTTCTTCAAGGGTTCTATAAGGTACAATTTCATGCTTAAGGGTTCTTTGCATGGTGAAAAGGTTCTTCAGATTGATGGAGAATGTGTTGTATTATTACAAGTCAGACATCGTGTGGAAACAGTTTTGGTGACTATTGACTTCCAGTGTTGTTAGCAGCTACAGTTCTGAACTAAAGAAGCAAAACGTGGATGCAGTATAACTCCTCCTGTAGCATGAGGCTTATTCACACTACTGCACAAGTAAATCTTTATAAATGTTCATATCACTCTGTAATGTTCTGTATTTGATAGATTTTATGGCATATTTTACAGTACATGTCTACTTGACCTGCATATGTACAGACATTCATATCTGCATAAGTCCAGATATACACACGTCTCATATGTACATCTATGTTTTTTAACATTCTTTATTCTATATTCTATTTATCATATTTTATTTTACCTCTCCCTTTCAACATGTGTGACTCACCAAGACAAATTCCTTGTATGTATCCGGTTCTAACAGTTTTTAGTTCTTTTTTTCTAAGGGTATTGACCACCCCTCCAGAAGTCCAGTAAGCTCCATATCATGTTTATAATCATAAACTTGCAGGCTCTGTGGCCAGGGAAGCCTGTCGTGAGCTCCTCTGGTGGGGAAAGCTGGTAAAGCTCTGGGAAAAATGATGGTGGATGATACCTAGATGTGAAGCAGTGAAGGGGCAGTGGGGAGGGAGGGATTTGGAACAGCCACCCAGTGCATTGAAGCACACCCCGCCTCAAAACAAAGAGCAAGACGGGCAATTTCCAGTAAGGAGCTGACAGACTTTGGGAAACACATTCAGTACCACGGAGGAAGTTTCTTACTTAGCTATAAGGTAGGAAAAATGAATTATTATGGCTGATTTAAAACGCATATATTAGCAGAGAAAGATCTGGGAAAGATTAGGCTCTGTAAACCAGCCTAAAATTGATCATGGGATTTAGCTCCGTTTAGCTTCTTTTTCGAATTTTCCGTTTCACCTTAAATGGTGCACCAGTTACTGCAGCACCATTTAAGGTGGAACGGAAAATTCGAATAAGAAGCTAAAGGCAGCGCAAGAAACAAACGAATTCGATTAAAAACATGAACAATGTGATTATAATGTCAGGGCTTTAAATTTCAGTACATTCATAAAGATATCGATTTCTTTTGCTTTGTTTATTGGTCGATAATGGAAAAAACAAACACTGAATGCTAATAAATGTGGTTGGGCGTGGCCAGAGCTAATGATGGGAGTTGGGCACCCTCCAAATTAACTGCCTCGAAGATGTTATTTGATACTACAATAACGTCACTAATAAGCCCCTAGAATAAGCCCTGTTGTTAACTTCATTTTCTCACCTGTCCCTCTTCTTAAAGGGGAACTGCATCGACTTTTCAAAATTTCTGCATAATTAAACGGTTAAGATGTAAACAGAGTCATTCAGAGTGGTTTGTATTACAGAAACATCTTAACTCTGAAATTTTACCGTGTTTGTTTAGTCTCAGTCTCAGAAGAATTAGAATATACTTAGTACATTAGTCACGTTCTGTTGTTACTCTGAATAAACAAATCAGTAATTTGTTATATCATTTTTCAATACAGATTGGCTCTGGATGAGCTCTCCAGCAATAAATGAGGCCTTGTGCATAATTTGTACAGTGATAGGAAACACAGTAGCTCACAGAAAGCTCAGATCCAAATGCACTGATACATTTCAATCTGACCAGCATGCGGCAGATTTATATGCCTTAAAGGGGTCATGCATTCTCAGAATGGATTGTCAGCAACACGTGGTTCGATTAACTGCTCTACATGGTATTTTTTATATTTAAAAAAACATTTTTGAATAATATTTGAAATCTCAGGTACTTGGTCTGATCTGGCCTTCTTTGAAAAATGTTTGGAAGGGTTTAGGGTTAGGCTAGTACTACTTTTGGTTATCCTTCGGGTAAGTCTCCAGAGAATGAATGGAAGTCTATGTAATGTCCCCACAATTCACAGAAACAAAGGTGTGTGTGCTTCGGAATGTGTATATGGCTGCTGTCATATCTCCAAAATGATACAACTATACAGTAGAAACAAAAACATGCTTTATTATTAATGTAAGTCAATGGAATCCGAATGTTTTCCAAGTAACTTGGAAAACATTCAGGTTTCATTGACTTACATTAATAATAAAGAAGGTTTTAATAATAATAAAGATTATGTCCTTCTTATTTTATTTTGATTTTATTTTGTCTTAGCTCGCTGAGGTGTTTTGAATGTGTTGCTCTTCTGTGTTCTGTTTAAGCGCTGTCAGATGTTGCTCTGATGTTGATTTTATATTTGTAGAATTCGATATGTTCTGCATGTACAATATACAAATTCACTGGCAATAAGAAGACAAAAATAAAAGCAGAGCATGAAAGTACTAATACAATTTTAAGTGAAAAAAATCCAAATTCACTTTTTTTTTCCAGATACACTATATTGCCAAAAGTATTCACTCATCTGCTGTCACACACATATGAACTTGAGTGACATCCCATTCTTAATCCATAGGGTTTAATATGATGTCGGCCCACCCTTTGCAGCAATAACAGCTTCAACTCTTCTGAGAAGGCTTTCCGCAAGGTTTAGGAGTGTGTTTATGGGAATTTTTGACCATTCTTCCAGAAGCGCATTTGTGAGGTCAGACACTGATGTTGGACGAGAAGGTCTGGCTCGCAGTCTCCGCTCTAATTCACCCCAAAGGTGTTTTATCGGGTTGAGGTCAGGACTCTGTACAGGCCAGTCAAGTTCTTCCACACCAAACTCGCTCATCCATGTCTTTATGGACCTTGCTTTGTGCACTGGTGCGCAGCCATGTTGGAACAGGAAGTTCCCCAAACTGTAAAAATAATCCATGACCATTTTTGGTATATAAACCCACACAAATACATGGGTAGCTTTTAGACAGAAAAGTAATATAAAGTAATATGTAAAACTGTAATCACTGTGTGGTGTACAGTCCTAAACTATATCAAAAAATGTCTTTGGGGCTTGTAACTTACTTCAACTTTTGCCTTTTATTATTGCTGAATTCTAAGAAAGTATAGTATAAACTTGACAGTAAACATGAGCTAATAAGTTTGCGCTCACTAATTTTTAATGTACATTGCACATTGTGTAATATCGATGCTAGTCTTAAACAGTCTTTTTTGGGAAAGTCTAATCGATCGTAATCAGTTTAAAATCATTAACCACTTAACATAAAGTATCCACCTTTTATTACAGGATGGGGCAGCTGTGCCATTATACAGTGCTCTGTCTGGCTTTCATGGCAGTGCTGCACAACGCATCAGCAGGAAGGAAAGGAGGATCTGTAAGCAAAAAAACCTCTTCCACAAAAACTACGTCTTCTTCATCATCTAGTAAAGGAACATCTTCGTCCTCTGGTAAAAGCACGTCTTCATCTGTAAAGCCAGCACAGGGATCCAACACAAAGGCCCATCAGTACCCTGCTGGTGGAAGTTATCCAGCTGGAGGCCAGTATCCCGGACAGGGGGGTGGTAGTCCAGCAGGGTATCCAAAGCAGTACCCTCCAGCTGGTGGGAGTTACCCAGCCGGAGGTCAGTATCCTGGACAAGGGGGTTCCAGTCCTGGAGGGTATCCCAACCAGTACCCGGCAGGTGGCAGCTACCCTGCGGGTGGGAGTTACCCAGCGGGAGGCCAGTATCCAGGAAGAGGGGGTTCCAGCCCTGGAGGGTATCCCAACCAGTACCCTGCAGGTGGTAGCTACCCTGCTGGTGGGAGTTACCCAGCGGGAGGCCAGTATCCAGGACGAGGGGGTTCCAGCCCTGGAGGGTATCCCAACCAGTACCCTGCAGGAGGGAGTTACCCAGCTGGAGGACAGTATCCTGCAAGAGGAGGTGTAAACCCAGGAGGATATCCTAACCAGTACCCTGTGGGGGGAGGCTACCCAGCTGGTGGATACCCAGTGAGAACAGGAGGCCAGCCAGGGGGATACCCAGGTGGTTACCCGTCCATAGGCGGGGCTTATCCCAACTGGAACCCCAACAACAAGATCCTTAGTCCTCGCTATGGAGGTGGATTTGGGGGTGGGTTTGGAGGTAAAGGGCATGGAATTGGTGGTTCCCCTTTTTCACATTCGGTGCAGAGCATGGGTTACGCTCCCTCATTGAAGTCCAAAGGTTTTGGGAAAAAGGCAGCGCTGGCAGCTGGAGCTGGAGCAGTGGCAGGGATGGCAGTGGGTTACGGCCTGGGCCACTTCCCAAGGCCCCACATCAGGTTCAGCAGTCCGAAGAGGAGCATCACTACAACCACTACATGTACCACCACTACGGCACCAAATCAGCCACCAAATCAGCCACCAAATCAGCCACCAAATCAACCACAAAAACGACTATGGACAGGACAACGTGTTCAAGCCCCCATCTGAGGCTCAGAGCTATGAGAAATACATGGACACATGCATGAACAGAACTGACCTCCTGCAAGACCAGGACACAAAGGTCAGCCACATCCAGAGAGATGATCCCATCTCTGGATCTTCTGCTCTTGCGTCTGGCACTCTGGAGAGAAGTGGCCCTGCAGAGCGTGGCATTAACAACGTCCAAAGAAATGAATCCACCCCTCAATCTCCTGCTCTTGCTAATGGCACTCTTGAGACAACTGGCCCTGAGGAGAGTGGCACCAAGTCAGACATCCCAGTGCCTGCAGAGCTCCAGGAGAGCGATGACAACACAGTGAGCATCATGGAGATTGGGTACCCTGCACTCATCCAGCAGATGAAGGCTCGGAAGTGTGTGGAGTTGTATATAGTGTACTCCAAGAGCTTCCTGCAGAAGCATACAGGAGAAAGACCCAAAAGTGACAGCAGAGGTGGCCAAAACGGATGCTCCTCCTCAGGTCCCCACCTAGTTCTCATGACCATCATTATGGCCCTTAGCAGCGCCCTCCTGCTGCAGTGAAGTAGCACTGTCCTGCTCAAGCCTCACAGGGACTACAGAACACATTAATTTTGCTCCTGTTCCAACACAGTGTTTTTTAAACCAGTCCTTGGGGCTCACAGGATGGTCCACATTGTCACACTGCCACAAATCCTTATACACCTGAATCAAGCCATTAAGAACACCGAACACTGTGTTATGGAAACTTCTTAAGTCTGAACACATATTTTGTCTGTTTAGTCAGCATGACAACTTAAGTACATACTGAATTTAGGACAGCAGCTGTCACAGAATAACAGTTCCTAACTTTATAATCTTATCATTAACTCCAGATAAGAGAACAGTATTACACAAACATCCTAACTAGACTAAATCTCCTAAATATTGTCCTTACTTTAAGTCAACCCCACTGGTGTTTGATTGTATAATTAATATTCATAACCAATTCATGTAATAACTTTCTGTGAGGGAGATTTTAGAGATGGACATCTGGTTCCTATCACCACCACTGTGAACAATTCTGACTCAGTAAGCTTCTCCAGAACAGAGCATCACACCAAACCACTCTGAACGACTCTGTTTACATTTTAACCACTTAATAATGCAGAAATCTTGAAAAATTACCTTTAAGGTACTTATTTCAATTTTAAGCCATGAACTGATTACTTTCAGTCAGCACTTTATTACTTCTAGCCTCAAACATTCCACAGGTGACTGTTTTATTCAGCCAAAGATAAATACTCGTCAAGTATTAATTCTCTTAAAGATAAATATTGATAAGAATTCTGTATACACAATATTTATATACCTAAATATTAATCTCAGTACTGCTGTAGTATGGCTAAAATATTATGCAAAAGTTTATGCTGTGCCTGAAGTTCCTCCCTCTTCATCTCAGTATTATCAGCAAACTCTCAAGAAACTGCTGCACTTTCTCCAGTAATCACAGATTTGCACTGAAACCTTAATGAAGATATGCTGTTCATATGTAACTCTGTACATACTGTAAGACTGCATGATTTTCTCTATCTTTACTGACTGTTTGGCACTGTAGTGGTTGTCTCATGTATTTATCAATAAACAGTAGTATGTATAAGTCAGACTGGTTGTTGTGCTAGATACATACATTTATTATATGATCATAGCATTTTTGGCTCAGTTTAGAACTGTGCACTGGGGTTTAGCCTGATTCATTCAGGCTAGTTTCATAGCAGCACACTAAATAAAAACTGTGCTTTAATAGCGCCCAGAGGTAGCACACTAGCTGTGAGATAAAGCACTAACCATGAAACGATACAAAACCATGCATTAAAATATGATATGTAAAACCAGAATACATGGCATTGCGATAATTTAAAAATCCGCTGCAATAGATTACAGTATGTTAAAATACAATATGTAATGATATGTTATAATATAATGTGATGTTATGAAATGTTACTTAAGCAATAGAACACGAGAAAGAGTGAGTTATTGCGAATAACATCACGACTGTGATTTGGTCGCAGGCACGAGGTCGAAGGCCTACTGACAATACTTTCTGTCAAAAAGTAGTTCCACAATAACTGAGTTGTTGCTATGCAAGTATAATAATTCGCTAGCCCAGGGGTCTGCAATGCGGCTCTTTTACTGCCCTGTTGTGGCTCCACAGCAGAATTAGAAAAAAATCCTCCTTTACAGTAAAATAAAGCAATAAATTGTCTTAAACACTGGAGTTAATGTGTAACTGCTAATTCACTCTTTAACCCTGAAAATCAGCGCAGATTGCTGGTTACCATAGCAACACAGACAACAGTCTCACCTAGCTAGTAGCCAACGAAAAGGCAAAGAGAAAGATTTCAGACAAACATTGATAATTTGGAGACAAATGGACATATTTGCATTTATAATCACTCCAGCTGGTTTCCTGATACATTTAATCTGCAGCGAAAGTTGTCAAACACTAAAAAGTCACGAGATTGAAGTCCGTTTCTTGATCAAATTTTCCCTTAAATGGTGTTACATTCTTAATTTAAAGTTACATTCTTAATTTAAGGTGGAAGAAGCTGGCGAATGAGAAGCTGACTTCGGCCTCGTAAAAGTCGAATGTTGAGAGAAACTATTCTACTTTTGAGGAAAAGTCTCCTGTCAAAGATGCGAGAAAAGCACCTATAGCTGAGCTAAAGCTTAAAGCAAAGCGAAGTAAGTCTGCGTTTTTGTTATATTATAGTTTTTAGCCTATACTAGCACATTAGAATGTACTGAGACAAATTTACAGCCAAGATGGTAAAATGGACATAAAATGTATCTCTCAAGGTAGTGTGGTTTTGTTGAAAGGACAAAATGGCTCTTCTTAACATTTGGGTTGCGGCCCCTGCCCTGGCCTGTTGAGCCCTGTGCGCAGTCCAAGATAACTGTTGATACTGTATGGCTCACCTTTTGTGGTACTGTGTCTGTAAAGCACTTTGTAGCCCATTTTGTTTGGTGAATTGTACTGTTTCTAGCCAGTTGTGCTCTGTTTCTAGCCAGTACAAATCAATTGTATCAGTTTCTCATTTTGAACAAGCACAAATACAAAACAACTAAGGTTTGTTTTTATAAAGCTTGTTGTTTCTCAGCAACGTGTCACTTGTTACTTTGCAATGCGTCAGCGGAGTGATACGGTTTCGGTGTGAAAAAGCTGTGCTGATATTTGTGATAACACTTCACTTAGAACACTTCTCAGCCAATCAGATTGTAAGGTTGGTACTAACTTACAATTTAATAGAAAATGCTATGTTACATTATGGTACAATACACTATGTTACAATACGAAACAGTACAATACATAATAATACAATGAGATACGTTACAATATATTATGATATATGTTGCAATACAATATGTTATGATACATCACAAGACATTGCAATACATTACTATACAATAAAGTGTTATATGTTACAATATGTTACAATATGATATGTTCTAATACATTATGTTACAATACGTTACGATAATTTGTATTCTTACATCCCTAATTAAAACCCTATAACCCGTAGTCCCATTGCCAAAACATCAATGTATATCCCGATATTTATGCCACTCAAGAACGGCTGCAGAACAATTTCAAAAACCCCATTAATAAACTGGACATCTACTGGATATTTTAGGGAGTTCATCTGCTTTACTAATTCTCAGAGGGCAAATTATTGTGTCCTAAAATTTGAATGTATAAATTGTAAGGCTTTAATGATTTCACTACAGTACAGTAAAAAGTTTATATCTTTAGAAAAATGTTATATGTCTAAGACAGGCCAGCAAATCTAATCAAATCTAATCTAATCAAATCTTGACCCCAGAATAACCTAAAAATGTGTGCATCATGAGTAGATTCATCGTTATTCAGTGTATTCTTGCTAAACATCACCAGTGTCATATTAATATGCACCTAAATATACTACAGCTGGAATACTGACTCCCGTTTATCTGTGATGTGAAGAAACCGCGACCGCTCTCTCTCTTTCCGTTTAAAGAAGTTAAAGTGGCCGAAACGAAGACCGTCGCCTTAGGAACATCACTTGGCTCCTTCAGCGAGGCTTTCATGGTTGCTAGGCAACCAGCTGCTTCACAGAAGGAAGGCCGTGAAGAGATGAGGAGGTAATAAGAGACATCGGCAAACACAGCAGGACAGAAGAGCACTCAGCAGTGTTTATTCAGTCAGCGCACAGATCAATAAACATACAGAGTACAAACTGCTCACGCGCAGCTTCAGAGATCACCATCCATAAGCTGAATAATCAATAAAAAACATTTCACTTCATCACTCTTCACAAACACAATGTAGGATATAATAATAATAATAATAATAATAATAATAATAAATCTCAGCAGAAACCACTTTTAAAAAATAGCCCTTACTGTAAAGCACAGCACTGAGTAATTATGAAAGAACAACAAAAAATCAGCAGAAGTAATTCACCTCCACACTCGCTGTGTACTATTCTGTGCTAATTTGTTTACTTCCTTTAAGAGATATTTCAACCTGATAGGCTTCTTATATGATTCACGTGTTTTCAAATGATGAACAGATTAAAAATGAATTGCTTTTTTGACTAACCATTGTTCAGTTCTCATCTTTAAACCACCATAGAAATAAGATGTATTTCTCGGTTTCTCAATAAGAAATTTCTTCTTAAAACCCACTCAGTTTTGACTCTGACATTCACCGGTGTTTTCTTATTTGGGACTTGTTCTTAGGTAAGTACAGAATCTACACACACTCAAGAGCACAAAGGTGAGAACAGTTTGCACTTTAAGAACATGTCTTGAACCTGTTGTAGACTTGTTCTTAGGATCTTTCTTAGGAACACATTTAAGAACAAACTAAGGAAGATATTGGAGAATGAGCCCCAGTTTTTCCATATTCTTCTCAATATCTAGTACCTTGCTTCATATTGACTGCATAGGCAGCATTTTAACAAAAACTGTACCCCTTGTGAAAGCTTATTGAGAATCCTCACCACCTGCAGGCGATAGCTTGCTCACATTAGCTTGCTAAGCATTTCAAATGAATGCAACAGAGCTAGCATGCTAATCAAAATAATATGACCACTGACAGATATAAGTCATAAACAAAATGACAAAAGCATTTTTACAACACCAGAAACAGCTAAGTTTGGCTAAAATAAATTACAAATGAAGACATTGATGTTAGCCGTGTTGAACAGAATGCTTGTTGTTGTGTTGCATTATTGGGTGTATGATGCTGCCTTAAAATTTGGGCAAAGTAAGACTTTATTTGAGGTAGCTAAGACTTTGTGCCTTTGCATTTTAATGACATCCCAGACAGTGAGCATATATCAGTCTGCTGGCTTGATAAGATGGCACCCCGTTTGCCACCGCTCGTCCACCCTCGGACCACCCAGATTACTGTCCTGCATACAAGGACTAGTTTTTAATCTCCTCAAATAGATTTCAAATGCACACAGACTTTTATTTTGGAAAATAAACAAAGATAAGTATTAAAAACCACTGAGAGAAAAAAAATAATGACTAGGTTTATAATAAATTGATTTTGAAAATGTTGTTGCTGACACTGTGCTAGACTCAAATTATTTACTAAACTAATTTACAAAGGATAAGAAAGAAATGGAAGAAAAATAAACTAATTGGACTGTAAGCGAAAAAAGGAGCAATAAGAAATGGCATTTTGTTTTACACTTTGTTTAACCACCAGTGGGCCACCCAGGAAACACTGAGCAAAAAGCGAGTGGGCCACCAGCTTTCAGAAGACTTTGACAACCAACACTGAGTCATTGTACCTGGTAATCTTCACCCTAAAGGGTGTGACCTTATGGGGCCACATCTTGCCGAATCACTATAACTTTAAATATTATTGCAGTTTTGTCTTTAGAGCAGCAGCTCAATGATCAAGAAAGTTTACAGAGACGTCCAATCAGTTTCAGCCCCACAGGAAGATGCTGAGTGCAGCTCCAGTCATTAGAAGTGTGTTCAGAGCTGGACCTGAGCTACTTCCGCCTCTGTAGTACCTCCCATCAGAGCGGTTATAGTAGCCTGGTCCATCAGCATAGTGATACCGCCTGTCTTCTTCAGAGGAGTCTCCATCGTATCCGTAACCATAGCCGTACCTGGGTCTGCCCAGAGAGCCGAGGCCATAGCCGATAGCCGCCCCACCAATTGCCCCGGCAGCGGCTGCCCCGGCCAGCTTCAGCCCCTGTTTGGAGGAGCCTTTGCTCTGAGTGGGGGGGCTCTTACCCCCCATTCCCACACCTTTACCCCGCCCCCCGAACACACCCCCGTGCTTACAGGAGGCCCAGGGGCACAAAGAGGACACCAGCAACATCCACACAAACACCAATGGCAGCTTCTGACAGCCTGGCATGACCTGATTTCACCTGGAGGAATACAGAGAGGTGGGTGGAGACATGGCCACTTTATCAGAAACCCCTCTCTCCACCTTGCTGGTGTACAGTTGGATTATACTTCGTCATCTACTCATGTACAAAGTACATGGGTATTTCAAATACAGTGATCAGTTAGTAGAAGCACAAGGTAGGTGTTTCCAATAAAGTGACCAGTTAGTGGAAGCACAAAATGGGTGTTTCTTATAAAGTGGCCAGTTAGTGGAAGTACAAGGTAGGTGTTTCTAATAAAGTGGCCAGTTAGTGGAAGTACAAGTGGGTGTTTCTAATAAATTGGCCAGTATAGAATAGTCAGTCATAACAGTGCATTAATAATAGCAGTAAAAATGTCCAACAATGCTTGGTCATCATGCATGCTGTAAATTTGTTGGACACTGGCATGTAGGTACAGTTGTCATATTGACTGTAGGGTATAATCTGGATAGTCTGGCACTGTGTGAATTTCCAGGCTTCAGTTAATTGCACAGTGCAAAAATGAATTTCCATCTCACTGTTCAATTTGTTTAAAACATCTTTAGTCAATCATAGATATGGACCAAAGATATAATGATCCTTATTATGGCAAAAATAGTTTTAATAAAGAAATGTTTGATGTATTATTTAAATATTGCTAGGGTTTTAAAATGTACTACTCACTTTTAATTTATTTTTTTGTGGCGTCACAATACATTTACCTGTATCGACCTATTCAGCCTCTAGCAGTTTAGCTCTGCCTACTCGAACAGTTATAGTTATAAGGAGTTTCTCAATCTGGACTGCTTTTTGAATGAGACAATCACAGACAATCAGAACTGAGCTCATTTACATATGTTAGTCCTAGTTAGGCACTGTAACAAAAACAGCCTGATTAATTCTGAAGTTAGAAAAAGGTCATGATAACATAAAGGGGAATTCCAGCGATTTTTAGAGTTTCTGCATAATTGACTGTGTGAGATGTAAACAGAGTGATTCAGAGTGGTTTGGTGTGAAATGGTTCAGATTTCTTTACAGTGCTGGTGATAGGAACCAGGGGTCGCCGTGACTACAACACAAATATAGACATTTTATTTACTATCCAAAAACTCCAGTGAACATACACGTGTCTTCTGAGTTTTATATGGAATGTTGATGATGGGAAAATTGTGGAAAATCTGAAATAATAAGTTTTCTTTGACTATTTTGCCTCATAACACCCTACATAGTATGTATCCCTCCACCATGAATAGATTTTCAGTTCTCACAACTATCATAAAACAATGTCTCAGACATCAGGCCGTGTATTTACCACCATTTTATGTAATAACTTTCTGTGAGGGAGCTTTTAGAGGTGGACGTCTGGTTCCTATCACCACTGTGACCAATTCTGACTCATTAAGTTTCTCTAGAACGGAGCATTTCACACCAAACCACTCTGAATGACTCTGTTTACATCATAACCATTTAATTATGCAGGATTTTTTGATAAATTGATCCATGTAAAGGCTAAAGATATAAATATGTTATATATATGTGTTACTGGTTCTTATAATCAGCATTAAATCTCTCAAATCAGTTTAGATTGGCAGATTGAGCCTCATTGTGTGTCTAGTCTGTCTCAGCAGAGTTTAACAACAACACGCTCCTCTCCTCACCGGCCATCACACAATTACAGTGCGGAGAGAGAGAGGAGCGGGTGTTTCTCGCTCTAATGCACTTCAATACAGCACTGCTGACTGCCTGGAAACAAACAAACAACACGAGCCAGTGTGCTATCTGTGTCAGCTTCATCCAGAAAGAGCTCACATGATGACCTCTCACTTATAGAGTACGTAATATATTTACTTAAACAGATACGGCTCTCAAATGACCAATAATGGCCTCTGTTTGTTAAAGCTCTCATTAACTCTCTCCATTCAGACGAGAAAATATGAATGATTAAATTCATTTATGTTCAAATGCACTTTGTGAGAAGCATCTGATTGGCTTTATTTCTCAGTAAACAGTCGTAATGTCTTGTTCATCCTCCAGAATTACATGCAAATGTAGAGTACCATGGTCCTGCCCCACCCCCCATGGTGGTCCATCTGTTGCTGCATACTGAGTAGGAGCTTAAAAATGCATTTGAATGGATCAGTTTTGGAATGTTAAAAATGTTTTTTTCTACAATGTAATCAATAATAATAAATAAAATATATGCACTGACCAAAATACAACTTCCTATATATGTCAACATTTGTGGTTTACTGTATTTCTAAATGTAACAATTAATTGAAGCGTGTTGAAATGTGAGATTTCATATTAATAATAATACATTACAGTCGTCCAAAGATGTTTTTTTTCATATAGAACTATGAACACTCAAAGAACCCTTTGAATGATTAAAGGGGTCTTTGCATGGTGTCCTGTGGATGGTCCCTTACTTAAAGAACCATCTTTTTTAAGAGCAATAATAATCTATAATATTATTATTAGTAAGATAAACACTGAAAAGCAAAAATATTACAGTTTATATAAAGTAACAGCTCAATTACAAATTTAAGAACAAAACATTACTGAAAAACTGAATCATGATGTACTGAATTTTTTCCTAAATATCATAATTGCCACTGTAAATTCACAGATTTTCTCCCCTAGTACTAAATATGTCATGTTTCACATTCAATTTGAGTCAAATTTAGTTCAAATCTGAGATTTTATAGTAATATTTACATAATCAATGATAATATATGAGTAATTTTATAACTTAAATGTTTACTTGTTTACAGATTATACTGAGACTATATAGAAGATAAATGATAAAATATTACAGTTTACATGAAATAACAGCACAGTTACAAATTAAAGAATATAAAAAATAAGCAAAAAATGAATCATGATGCACTGAATTGTTCCCTAAAGAATCGTAGTTGAACTGAATCACTGTAAGGTGACAGAGCGACTCCTCTGTTAGTGAATCTTACCTGCTGACGCTCTGATTCTGCTTCTTTCTTCACTGTGATTACGAGCCCCTCTATGAAAATCCTCTCTACACGCTTGGTATCCAGCCTCCGGAGCTGTCAATCAGCACACAGCAGCCAATCGTGAGCCAGCAGCTCCGCTCACATGAGAACAATGACAGTCCTGTAGCAGAATGACTGCCTGGTACAAACTGCCTGCTTCTGTTTCTCACTCAGCTCTGATGATGTTTGGGATATTGGGCGTATTGGGTGATGATCGTCAACCATTTTCTCCTCCTCGGCTACGTTAACACATCTCAGTTGCTATGGTAACATGCTAAAGACAAGGCTGCTGGACTAGGAGGTTAGATAAGACATTTTGGCTCATTATGTAATGAAAAGTAATCAGGAAATTGGCAAATTATTGTTCTAACAGTCTGAAAAGCAGCAGCAATTACACTGTTATTCAGGAGGAAGCTTTGAAGCTCTTAGTGTTACAGCATGTTCATCTCCACTGCAGGATAAAAACACCAGCAATACTGAGAAAAATGCTAAAAACATTTTATTAACAAGTGCTTTTATTGTACCACGGACAAAAAACATGCATAACCATTTACAGCATAACACAGTCAACACAATTACTCTTCACATTATCAGGCACTAACAAACAGGCACTAAAAGAAATATGTTTATGCAAATATATTTACAAATCTCAGAGAAATTTAATTATCCAAATATATTCATATGTCTCTAAGAAATATACGTTGCAAAAATATTTATCAACTTGCAAGAAATATATTTACACATCTGTAAGAATTATATTTATGCTTACATTTGTAAGGAATACATTTATGCATATATGTTTACACATCTGCACTGCTATCTGCACATAACACTGCTATGAGCTACAAGGCTAATGCTAGGGCTAACAAGCTTAGACATTCAGTTAGCCCCATGCTAATTGGTGTGCCTAAGCTCCCATTACTTGTTAGCTATATTAGCCTTGTAGCTCAAGTGCTAAAACGAAAGAGGCCTCTATGAGCTACAAGTCTTCTTCAAGAACTACAGACACCAAACACGTGTTGGCTGACTGACTACAGTTGGGGTAAATGGGGGCCGGTTGACTGGACAGATTCAGAAGTTATAATTTTGGCTGCCCAATTACTTTAAGTGACATTAGAACAGACAGAATGTTCTAGAGATGTGAGAGAGATGAAATGAGATGTAACTGATGTCCTGTCTGCTAGCAAACGGCTTTATCAGCCAGACGCTGCATGTGCTTCTGAATCATACAGCGCAGATCAGTGTACCTGCAACAGCACAGAGCACAGCATCATTTATCACATCATAACATTCATAACAAACTCTGATTAAACTCATAACTTATTATTTAATTATTAATACATATTATTCTACTATGGATTATTGAGTAACTACTGTAAATTATTTAGTATCTACTATGAATTATTCAGTACCTACTGTGAATTATTCAGTATTTACTATGAATTACTCAGAAACTACTATGAATTATTCAGTATCTGCTATGAATTATTTAGTAACTACTGTGAAGTTTTATCAGTATTTAGTATAAAACTAAAGTTTAAGCTCTGATGTGAATGATGTAAGTGTACAGGATAAAAGCTAAGTAAGTGATAAAGCTCTGTCCGTGTCTCTGACAGTACAGTACTCTGTGAACAGTGCAGCAGGAGTGTGTTTACCTCTGTTTGAGTTTCTCCATCTCTCTGAGCTCCTCCTCCATCAGCTTATCAATGAAGCTCTGCAGCACAGGCATCTCCAGCTTGATGTACTGCGCCACCTGAAACGTGCACACACAGTCAGAGTGGGTCATTGGGCGAGTCAAGAGCGTTCCCAACGGGCCGGGAACATTTTAAGCTGGTTAATGAGGGCTAAGATAGAGGAGAGCGGGGCACTAACTAACACAGGGTAAAACCTGACGCAGACATTTTAATGTAAGTGTATTGTTGAAGTAGAAAGTACTTTTGATCAACTCATATTACCATGGCAGCATCATCTGTGAACCTTGACAACAATTTTTTGCAGATTCTGAAGGTACAATTTTTTATGCACAGATTCATCAACAACATGTGATAGATATATCACTGCTGTCAGAACAAAACCTTGTGTCTTCAAAATGCTAACTTTCCAAGGAGAAAGAAAAAAATTACTTTACTTTTAATGTAAGTCAATGGAACCAGACGTTCCAAGTAATTTTGGGCTGTTTCTTTTGATCCATTCATCATGAAATTCACACAAAATGTAAAGAGAAACAGGCATTTTCAAATTATATCAAAAACTGAAAAACGACAAAAATGGAGATACAATGTTTTGTTTTCCAACAGCAGTGATATGTTTCATGTTTTGTGGTGATATGTGCTGTTCAAAGTTAAATGTGTTAGTGTTTGAGCCTCTTTTCGCAAATCATATTTACAGAAATATAAAGTATGCTCAATTCTGTTGACTAAAATGCTATTATTGTGGTCCGCTAAAACTAACTTTTCATATTAAATTAAAATGAACAAAAATTGAAATGTGATATTACTGAAAAAGGCTACATTTTCAAAGACATTTTTTGTCAAAAGACTAAAATAAATAAATAAATAAATAAATAAATAAATAAATCTTTAGAGTACAGGTCAGGTTGAAGGTGATACTGTTTAGAATGAGTGGATATCTTACATCATAAGTGACCTCCTCCACCTGGTCAACCTCCATCAGGAAGATCTTGCTGACCTGTTCACACGGACCCTGCAGAATCCTAATGGTCAGCGGGTGGTCACCTCGCTTCAGCTGCACCCGCTCTGAACACAAGGAGAGCCGCAGAACCATACAGTCAGTGCAAACAGAACCACAGAACCGTACAGTCAGTACAAACAGACACACAGAACCGTACAGTCAGTACAAACAGAATCAGAGAACTGTATAGTCAGTACAATCAGAACCGCAGAACCGTACACTCAGTACCCACACTCAGAACTATGCAGTCAGTACACACAGACACACAGTACCGTCCAGTTAGTACTGGGAAGGGGTTTCAGTTCTACTGGGAGTACAAACAGACTCTGAGAACTGTAGAGTTTGTACAATCAGAACTGCAGAACCGTACAATCAGTACACACACTCAGAACCGTACAGTCAGTACAAACAGACAAACAGAACCATACAGTTAGTACAAACAGACACACAGAACCGTACAGTCCAATTACACTTACATTTTTTTGTGGCCTTATCCAGATATAATCCTGATACTCAAGATGCATAAAGTGACCAGGTGTAAACAGGGTCTTTGATTTGTCAGCAGGTTTAACACACAGTCATTGACTTATTCACCAAATGTGATATCCAGTTTTCAGTTCGCTGTGTTATACCTGTGGAATGTCTAACCTGATATCAATATGATGTCCAAATAAGGGCATTTTTGATATTAGTGAATTATGACTACAGAGCTCCTCGTATTATCTCCACAGATCCAGAACTCACCTCCACTGGTGTGCAGGAGAAAAAGACTGAACTCCTCCGCACTGTTCTCAATCTTAAACTTGTTCAGCAGTACTCGCAGCACCTGCGCCGTCGTCATGGAGCTGTTGATGCGGACGTTTGTGACGGAACCGAATGCTGGAGTGAAAACTGCTGTCTAAAAAAGCAAAGCAGAGAAGCAGAAGAAACTATTAAAATAACCACACTGTAGTGCATATTTACAGATAACAGTGAGTCACACAGTCTATCAGAGATACTGAACAACTCCACAAAGCGTGAGGCAAGCATGTGATTACTTGGTGGGTATAAGCCTTCATTACTTGTTAATTACATTAGTGTCGTAGCTCCAGTGCTCAAACTAAAGAAGCTAACTTCAGACACTAAAAATGACTTGGCTGAGCGACTACATTTGGGTTAAGGGGGAGAAATTGTGTCAACTATCACTTTAAGGTGGGTATGATGGTATGTAAAAATGTAGCAATTTAAAGGGGAACTCCATCGATTTTCAAAATTTCTCTGTAATTAAGTGATTAGGATGTAAACAAGTCATTCAGAGTGGTTTGGTGTGAAACGTACCGGGTCAAAATTGTTCAAACTGGTGGCAATAGAAACCAGATGTCCACCTCTAAAAGCTCCCTCACAGAAAGTTATTACATGTAATGGTTATGAATACACGGTCTAATGTCTGAGACATTGTTTTACAATAGTTTTGAGAAGATTTTGGCCTTAAAAAACACTCTGAAACTGTGTAAAATCTGAGGAACTGCCTAAAAAAAATAGACATTTTGAACATCATCATTTTGTAACTGGAAATCTCGTGCCTTGTGGTTGTAGTAGTGGCCATTAAAGGAACATCTATGTCTCCGGATTCGCCGCTGGTTACCAAGTGCTGTCCGTCCACCGAGTCTCCTCCCACCCACATCACTCCTTGTTCTCTGCAGGTGTGCAGACTCCTCCTCCTCACCTGTGACAAAACACACAGATATAACCAATCTAATCCATCACTCCAACAGCCTATCAAATCCATCTCTCCAACAGCCAATCAAATCCATCACTTCAACCTCCAATAAAATCCATCACTTCAACTATCTATCTATCTATCTATATGAGAGAACTCACCTGTCTCTTCTGCTGTCTCTGTACCTTCTTCTGATTGGTCTGCATGTTCTGTGACCTCAATAGTGGGCGGAACGAGTTTCTTCCTGTGTTTTCTATAAAAGGGATGAATTTGTTGACAGTGGTTATTAAAACAGCATTATGGGTTTGTATTTACAGGGCCTCAGTGAAAGTGTTCATACTCAGACTCTGCTGGGTTTGTGTAACGTCCTGAGGGAAAAGGAGCCGGTTTGATTGGCTCTTTGCCATCTTGCATCTGTAATCTGATTGGTCTCCGCAGCCCCCAGAATATGTTGAGCAGCCCCTCAATAATCAGCTCTCCTTCCTCCTGTGTGAGCCACAAAACACCACATGACACCATTACATCATATAAATATATATGTACATACATACACACACACACACACACACACACACACACACACACTACCAATTTGTTTACAAATAAATGTGGGAAGTGACTGTGATCTGCAACTTCACATTTTTCACATTATTATTAGGGAGCTCTAAATAAAAATGTAGAAATGTTAGATGTGTCCAGAGTGATGAAAAGAGCTGTAGAAGAAGATTCTAAACTGCTGTAGAACATGGAGAGTAAAGTTTTAAGAAAATGTATGACAGATAGCAAACAAATAATTACTGTGCATCATTTATGCTTTTTACCTGTTTTTTTCACAGAATTGTGGAAATTTTAAATAAAACATTTAAAGTACCTTTTGCTGAATAGTTAGGATTATTTATTGTATTAAAATTATTGCAAAAAAATGTAAAACTTGTGATTCCATATGTACATACAGGAGAAGTCAAAACATTTTTTCTATCATTTAGAGTAATTTTGGAGCATTTCTACTGATAAATTCAACATGAAATGGTCACACAGTCTGAAGAACAGCTGGTGTTTTTTCAATGAAGTAATAAAATGAGTGGGGTTACGAGGTTTTGATATGACCATGATGAGTAACTGTGGGAATAAATATACAAACACAGTGAAAAATAAAATGTGAACAAAGTGTAGTCAGGAATCTTCAGTAATGCAGACGGTAGCATTGTGCGTGTGAGTATGTCAGCATAACTGAGTGTAACTGTGTATAAATGAGTGTAAATGAGTGTAACTGAGTGTAACTGCATACTGACCTCTCTGTGGCGGAGCTGCAGAGGCTCTCCTCTATAGTACAGGTTGTAGGTTTTAAGGTTTGAGAGTAAAGCTTTCCTGAAAAGGAAACCACAGAGTTTTTAGATCAAAACAGAGATAGATTTACTCAGTTTCAGTTAAAAGAGAAGAGAGGACTGATGTGAGCTGGGACGTACTTGCTGATGAACTTGTTTTCTCCAATCTGCACCTGCTCTGGATTCACACCAGCCATCATCTGCACGAGGAACCTCTACAGAACTGATAAAGAGGAGAGGAGAAAAGAGAAGAGATGAGAAAAGATATGAGAAGAGAAGTGAATAGAAGAGAAAAGAGGGGAAGAGAAGTGAAGAGAAGAGAAGAAAAAGAGGAGAAGAGAAGAGAGGGAAGAGAAGAGAAGAGAAGAGAAGAGAAGAGAAGAGAAGAGAAGCAGTAGATGAGTTCAGACAGAGCAGTGGACTCTGTGTTAATGTGCAGACAGTCTTATGATTTGCTTCACGACTTTAAACACCTTTAGGCCAAATTTACAACCTTTCCAGAAATAAACCAGAACTGAGAACAACATACAGCGCAGCGTCACTACCAAACGGCTGTAACCAGCCGAGCACTTGTGCACTGAATCTGTGTGTTTTTACAGGATAAATATGCAAACTCATAGTGGACTGACTGTAGACAACTGAATCTCAACAATACAGAATACAGTGAGTGTTTTGATTAAAGTCTCTGCCCTGTAACATTAGTGCCTCATGACCAAAGCATGCTGACCTCCATTAAACCACTAAAGGCTGCGTTTAGACATGCGATAAACTAGATTTAGGTTCTTTTCAGTACTTTTTGGTAACACTTTACTGTACACACTCAAAAAGATGGTTCTTCAAGGATTCTTTAGTGAAGAAAATGGTTCCATATGGAACCATGAACACTCAAAGAACCCTTTGCATGATTAAGTGGTTCTTTGCATTGTGAAATGGTTCTTCAGACTGGTGATACATAACTGTATATATCTGTAGCACCAGACGATGTCGCTATAGTACACTCTTAAAAAAGGATGGTTCTTCAAGGGTTCTTTAGTAAAGACTAGTTATATACAGAACCATTAACACTCAAAGACCCCTTTGCATGATTGATGAATTCTTTGCATCATGAATGGATTCTTCAGATTGATGGAGAATGTGCTGTAGATGATTCTACACGAAACCTGAAAGTGCGTCACTACTACACAAGTGGTCACAGTGCACTGCAAAAATATGATTTCTTGGCAATTAAAAACTTCTTAAATCTAGTCAATATATCTAATAGTGAGACCACTGTAAGAATAAAATGAGATTATTTAGCTTATTTCTAGACATGTTTTACTTATTTTAAGCAGTTTTAAGTGTCTTATTCCACTGGCAGATGATCTGACTTGTTATAAGCACTGTTTTTTTAAAAAGTAAAATGATCAGCCAATGGAAAAGACAAAACCCAGAGAGGAAGAGGATATAGACTCACTGCTGGCCTGCTGACAGTAAAGCTGGCGGCCCACTGACTCAGCAGTTTCTGGGATTTCCCTCATTACTTTTCATCATTATGTTTTTAAAATTAGTTAAGTAAATAATTTCAACAGTAATATCTCAAACAAAGCTGGTTGTACAGCTAATCTAGCACAGCGTTAGCAACAACATGGTTAACAAAATCATTTTATATCAGGTCTAGTGATTGATTATTGTTTTTCCCTCAACTATCAGTAATATTTGTCTTAGTTCATTTTCCAAAATAAAAGTCTCTGTGCACTTAAAATATGTTTTAGGGGGTTTAAAAGTGATTAGACCTCATGCGCAGGTGATCTGAGTGTGGACCAGCAGTGGCAAACAGTTAGCAGGGTGCCATATGTTTGCTGTCTGGAAACAGGCAAAAATGTGTAGAAATAGGTTGAATAATCTTATAATATTTTCACAACATCTCAAGATAAGAATTAGGTATACTGACTAGATTTAATGTGTTTTGGCAGCATGAGAAGGAGTGAGGAGTGGATTGGAATGCACTCGTCCTCAGCTAGGCATGCAAGCTAATTGGCTAGTTTAGCAAACTCTGCAACGCACAACATTTTTTGAAATGTCTGATATGTGAATGTGTGAAATGTCTCATAATGTGAATGATTTTTGTGAATAATTGGTTTGTCTGGCTTTAAACTTTGCTTTAAAACTGTGGTTTATTGTCTTTCTATTTTGTTATTGCTAGCTGTGTAGCCTTTAGCTTGCTAACTAGCAAGCTAGCTGAGCAAAGTAGATGATTTAACAGACGTCATGTAGAGGTAGTAGTTTAAACCTAAAATCCATAATGAACACAGCAAATCGAACATTATAGTTTTGAAATATTAATGTTTTAAAGTAGTTTATTGGTGTGGCTTATAAACAGATCTGTCTCGCATTTTTTTCAGGCTTGAAAGGAAAATGTGTCAGATTGCAATGATTTCTGGGCAACTTCAGTTGCTGAAGTCAACAGCTGTGTTCACTCAATATTTCGCCCCTCAAAGGACTCATCTAATAAACTTTACTTAAGCTAATATAGTAAAGGAATCTTCCTTACACTGTCAGAAAAAAAGGCACGGGGTGTGTGGTGTCAATACAACCTAGAAAATATAATTTCAGAGGATTATGGTACAATTATGGTTCCTGACTAAAGGTGCTGAGATGTACCTTTGAGGGAACCACCCCAGTGACAAGGGGGGCACTGCCCCAGTGACAATTTAGTACCTTTATTTCTGTAATCTACACTCTCAGCAAAATAGGCCTCTATATAGAACATCATTAAATGGCCAGTATCCTACATTCACTGCAAAAAATGGAATCTTGGCAAGAGAAAACATCTTAAATGTAGTCTAAATATCTAATATTTCTAATTATGAGATTGTTGTAAGAAAATAATAAAATTATATAATTTATTTCTAGACAGTTTTCCTTGTTTTTATTTTCTAAAATAGGCAAATTTATCTGCATTATTTTTCAAAACAATTAGAGTGCTCTGCCAATGGAATAAAACACTTTAATAAAACAGAATTACTTAAAACAAGTAAAACCGTATAGAAACAGGTTGAATAATCCTATAATTTTCTCATGACGATCTTATAATGAGAAATATAAGATATATTGACTACATTTAATATGTTTTCGCTTACTAAGATATCTTTTTTTCAGTGTTGTTTTTAATTTGAGGTCCACATTTGACATTTGAATGGTTTCATGTACCAAAAACTGTGCCTTTGAGGCTGATATATGTAAATGAGCTCTGCTGTGATTGGCTGTCCTGTATTATTTAGACCGTATGGACCGGGGAGAGAACTGTTTAACAACTGCTTGGATTAATAATGTTTATATACTACTATCAACTCTTTTATTTCCAAAACAGTGAGGACAAATTGGTTTTCCATGATGTGGGCCCTTTAAAACAGAGGTTCTTCAAGGATTCTTTAGTACAGGCAATGGTTATATGCAGCCATGACAGCCCAACGAACCATTGGAATGTTTAAATGGCTTTTTGAGTGGATAATTAAGAAACTGTTTCATTTCCACTGTGAGTACCACAAAGGGTTCCACTGTGGTGTTATACAGAACCCTTTTTGCTTAGATTGGACCATAAAAAAGGTTCTATAACTTGATACCACACTGAAACACTTTATTATTTTATACAGAACCGTTTTTAAGGGATTTAAACTACTATATACAATGTCATGGAAGGTATACATAATAATAATAATAATAATAATAACAAAGAACTAGTTACTCATTCAGAGAGTTCTTTGAGTTGTCATGGTTCTATAACCCTTGCCTTTATTAAAGAACCCTGAAGAGCGTACCCTGAACATCAGGAAGAGATGCAGCAGAAGACTTTGAGCACTCAGAGAGCAGCAGAGCTGGACGAGGAAAATGAAGAAACAGGTGACTTACTGTTTCAGATTGTTTCAGACAGGTACAGCAGTGTCAGAACCTGAGCTGAAGAACGGATCTGTGAGGAAGAGAATGTGCGAGTATGTGTTGAAAGGCTAAAGGAACTCGTGGCCCCTCCCTGAGAAGTGCTCACACAGGAAGTTGAGGCTATTTTTTTCACTTGCTTGTGGACTTCCTGTCAGCAGCAGTGGAGTTTAACAGAGATGCACTGATAGCTCACAGCGTGACTGCAGAACATCTGCTAATTACCAACACAGTCATCCAGAGAGCAGCTACACGCACTGAACAGCCTGCAGGCAGGAAACAGTGCAGCAGCACAAACACAGACATTCACACTCAGAGCAGCTAAAACAACTGAACTCAGAAACATTTAGATCTTTAGGCCAATGTTTTGGGTGTAGTAATTGGTACCATCCAGCATGTGCTTCCATTCATTGCCCACTTTAATAGAAACACCCACCTTGTGCTTCCACTCACGGGCCACTTTATTAGAAACATCTTCCTTGTGCTTCCACTAACTGTCCACTTTATTAGAGACACCTACCTTGTGCTTCCACTCACTGGCCACTTTATTAGAAACACCCACCTTGTACTTCTACTCATTGGCCACTTTATTAGAAACGCCTGACTTGTGCCTTCACTAACTGGCCACTTTATTAGAAACTTCCTTGTGCTTCCACTAACTGTCCACTTTATTAGAAACACCTTCCTTGTGCTTCCACTCACTGGCCACTTTATTAGAAACACCTACCTTGTACTTCCACTCATTGGCCACTTTATTAGAAACACCCACCTTGTGCTTCCACTCGCTGGCCACTTTATTAGAAACACCTTAGTTGTGCTTCCACTCACTGGCCACTTTATTAGAAACACCTGACTTGTGCTTCCACTAACTGGCCACTTTGTTAGAAACACTGACCTTACAGCTGCACTATGTAGGTGTACAGTTACAGACTAGTCCATCTGTTGCTGCACAGGGGTTTCTAATAAAGTGGCCAGTGAGAGTGCAACTGAACAGGAACTGCACAATGTTGCCACCTAGTGTTTACAGAAATAAACATACTCACATGAGTAAATGAATTGGGCCCACACACAACAGAAGGATATAATAATACATTATAATACACTGTGATACATTTTAATGCTGTGCCACTATGGATACATACAGCAATAAACAAATAAATATTCTTTAATTATTTTAGTGTTATCATTTTGTGTTGAAAAATGTAATTATCATTACATTATTATGGTTAGGGTTTGGGACAGACTCCTCCCAACAGAAAGTACCCTATAAATGATATTGTACATATTTAGCTTATTACTATCTGTTTTAATGCCATGTGTTTAAATAGATCAGAACATAATCTTTGCAATATCTAAGATCTGAAAGCTTCATTGTTTTTTAATAGGGTTTACTGTGGGAGCACAGTTTGAACTAAGTCAGTATAATGGTCCTTATAAGTGTACGTGGCTAATAAAGTGATTTTGATCTGTGTGATAAGAGTCAAAACTGAACACAGCTGAGATGCATTTGAGTCAAGCATGCAAACGCTTGTTTATTTGATGCCATACATCCAGTTCAAGTCAGTATTTACATATATACAAGCAAACATCTGGCAAGATACAGAATAATAACAGCCAATATGTCTGTGGAATTAAAGTTCTTTATCATATTAAAGTGATAGTTTGGCAAAAAATCTAATTTCCCTAATTTCTCCCCACCAAACATATCTTGGCTCATTTGGGGGTTAATTTTGATTTCTGGCTGAAGTATCACTTTAATATTTACATCTGCTGTCTCATGCTGGGGAAGGGTTGGGGGGGTTGGTTGCTGGGTTTTGGTCTCTAACAGCGCTGCCTCTGCTGTGGTCAGATAACATTCTCAAACAGCTGCATGGAGCTCATTATATTCTCATCCTGATGGAGAGAGAGAGACAGAAAGAAACAGAGAGAAAAAGAGCAGAGAGAGAGAGAGAGAGAGAGAGAAAGAGAGCGAAAGAGAAAGAGAGAGATTCTCATAAATGATTGGCATTGTATATACATACAGAAGCAGACAGAGGTGTAACGATACTGAATTCAGCTTTGATACAATTTTCAATTCTAGATTTGATTCCCTTTTCACTGTTTTGTGTGTTAAAATGTTTTCGGTTCTACAGAGCTCCAATTCTGTTCTACAGGTTGGTTTGGCTCAGATAAATAGAAGTTCTCCCATAGAACTGTTTCAGCTCCTGCTGCAGTGCCCTCTAACAAAACAACATCACAAAACATACAGTTTAAAAACTCTTCAGAATAAAAGCCCAGTCAGTTGAACATGGGTGTGTCCATAGCAGAAGCCCCCCACCACACTTCACTCTGATAGGCTGCCTAGCTGTAACCTTTAACAGTGGATTTGATGAAAGATTGATGCTCTGTAGAGAGTGAGGGATGAATCAGACATATAGATTAAAGTTTACATTCACTGTTTACACATAATCGCTATTATTGTTTTTCAATTTTGTACTAATATCGGTACAACCTTGATTAGACACACCTTACTGTGTATGCATTTTTCATAATCCTGAACCCTCAATCTGGGTTTATTATTCAGTAACCATTATAAATTATTCAGAATCTACTATTATTTTTTCAGTATCTACTATAAATTATTTTATAATTAGTATCTACTGTGAATTATTCAGTGTTTACAATGAATTATTTTGAATCTACTGTGAATTATTCAGTGTCTACTATGAACTATTTTGTATCTACTATCACTTATTCAGGATCTACTATGAATTATTCAGTGTCTACTATAAATTATTCAGGATCTACTATTAATTATTTTGTATCGATTATGAATTATTCAGTATCTACTATGAAATATTCAGGATCTACTATGAATTATTCAATATCTACTATGAATTAATTGAATATACATACCTAAATACTAAAATTATAAAGAAAAGACCATATTTTATCCAATATATTGCGGTTGGTTCCTCACCCAGCCAAGCACATTAAGCTACACCAATGATTCCATGATGAGTCCATGATTAAACTGTAAACCAATCTGGATAAGGACCTTTGCCAAATGCATACATGTAATGTCAATGTACAATTTTTCTCAGTATAACCTTCTGACACGTCTCGATGAACTCCTCAATGGTCACCACTCCGTCTCTGTTTCTGTCCATTTTCTGCAAAAACATGTTTTTACACTTTAGAATGCTGAGAGAAACAGTGGACACTCTGTCTTCACATCCACAAATGGTAAGATTTTTTCACAAATTTGTATTACAGAACCAAATCTTATCTTAATTTAAGAATCTTATCTTACAGCATCTTATCTCCAGTTAGGAAATCAGTCCACAATCAGTTGTCATGTCTGTTTCCTAGCAACCGACCATATGCGCACAGCTAAAACATCAACATGTCATCAAAATAATGAAGTTAGTTAGCCAGACAGCTGCCGTTACTGATGTAAAAAGGTCAAAACAAAACTAAAGCGTGATAAACTGTAAGTTGTGAATACTGTCAGAGCGCCCCCTGCTGTTTATCAGAGAGTCACCGCTCCCCAGTTTCAGTCCCCGTTTCCCAAACGCTTTAGCTGTGCGTGCTAACATTATTCCTCCTAATAAACAGACACGTGTTCAGCTCTGTCTCCTCATTATTCACCATCACTGTAATATTTTATCATCAACATTAACACACGAAGTTCATGTCTGCAGCGTCTGAGATTTTTAAAACGCAGAGTTAGAAAAGAAAAACATCTCACAAGTAAAAGTAGTGTTTTACAGTATAAATAAATGTAGTGTCATTATGCTAGTAGTGAACTATGCTGCTGACACAGCTAGGACACTGTTGGGGTTGATCCTAAAGTTAGGACAGTATTTAGGAGATTTAGTCTAGTTAGGATGTTTGTGTAATACTGTTTCCTTTTCTGGATTTAATGATAAGATTATGAAGTTAGGAACTGTAATAGCTACTGTCCTAAATTCAGTCCGTACTGAAGTCGTCATGGAGACAAAACAGATCACATTTCAGAATTGAGATGTTTCTGTAATACAGCCCCAGATTGTTTGGACCAAAGAAGAAAAGAACTATACAGATTGTTACCAGCGAAAAGTTTTCTAAATCCGTTGTCTGTCATGGTGTTGGGGGTATTAGTAGGTAACTGGCACATCTGTGAAAGCTCTGTTAATGCAGAACACATTTTGGAGGAACATATGCTGCCTTTTAGTTACCGTTTTTTTCAAGGATGTGCAGGATTATTTCAACATGACCAAGATGCTGCTTGTGTTACGACAGCACGGCTGAGTAACCAGAGAGTCCCACTGAAAACGTGTGTTGCATTACAAATCACATAATACATCAGTGAAGAGCCTGTGTGTTTGGGCAGCTGAAGAATTTTTTAACTGAAGGAATGGCAAAAATCCTTCAGTCCCAAAATGGTTATGAAGTGCTATGAAAAGGAAAGGTGATGTAACACATGCCTTTTCAGAATGAGTTGCAGACAGAGGTGGCTAAAAACAGTTGCAGCTCAATTAAAGCATCATAAATTACCTGGAAAAACTTCTCCACGTGTTCAAATGGAGCATCTTCTTTTACGCTGGGGGATGTGTAGCGGCCCATCATGTCATAGATGGACTTCATGATGGCCAACATTTCCTGCAGGACAAAGCAGATAAAACCAGAGTGGTGTTATTTTGTGGTCTAACACCACATACTGCTGTCTGAACCGCAGCAACAGCCTCTAGTCTTCTGGGAAGGCTTTACAATAGATGTTGGAACATTGCTGTGAGGATTTGATTGAGCATTAGCGAGGTCAGGTACTGATGTTGGATGGTCAGTTCCGGATCATTCCAACTCATCCCAAAGGTATTGGATGGAGCTCCATCACTCCAGAGAACACAGTTCCACTGCTCCACAGCCCGATGCTGGGGGGCTTTATACCCCTCTAGCCCACACTTAGCACTGGACATGGCTCATGTGTGGCTGCGTCCCATTCTATTGGTCAGTGCTTTTCTATGGAGATTATACACTGTATCAGCAATAGGTGACCTTAAAATGGAAATCACTCATTAGATGGACTGTCTGGATATTTTAGGACAGTAGTACTATTTTTTTATGGCCATATTTTATGTTACGACAAGAAAACAAGTCAGTAGGTTATACAGATAGATAAAAGAACTGTAATGATTTCTTGCAAAGTCATTGCAAGTAACTATTTACATTCAATTTCAGTACATTCAATATGAATTCTTTGGTATTGTGTCACTGTTCATAAGGTTACATGACTATTATGCCTTTCACAACAGCTGACATAAACCTTGTTGTTGCGGAAGTTGGTGTGGTAACACTTTTTATGAATACCATGTCTGTGAGCATCTGAAAACCTACCTCATAACATGTTATAATGCATTTATAAGGCATTATAAACATGGCTATAAATATTTATAAAAATGAAATACACTTCATAACCATGTTTATTATACATTATGAGTTGTTAACTCAAGTTGTTAAGGCATTATAAGTAGTAATAATAACATGTTATCTTGTCAGTGCCAAAGAAGTCAGTCCCAGCTTGTAGTGAGTAAAGTGAGATTAATAAATGTATTTATTTTATAGCATTTACAATATTTTATTTCTCACAGCTGATGCTGTTAGAGCTGCAGCTTTGGGGCTTCAGGACTTCATATTCAGATCCCCAAACAGCACTCTCACTTTAAACATTACATCACAGCAAACCATGTACCCATCAGGCCCTCTCCTGAACCCCCTCTGACATCACACTGAACAAGAAGTCAAGAAGTGGGGTGAAGGCATGGAGAGAGAGAGAGGCTGGTTAGCAGAGCACTATCACTGTAATTTGGTTCTAACATTAACAACCAGAACCCTTCACTCTGTAACATCACTACACTACACTACAGTAATGCTAATTTCTGCTAGCATTCAATTGGTTATGCAGTGGTAAGTTAGCGCTGAGCTAACAGTGGTGTACATTGACTTTCCCACGTTGGGTAAAACACGACTGATGGCAGCACTAGTTTAAACTCTGACATTTGAAGCTTGTAATGAGTTTTACTTTGTATGTTTTAGTGTTTCAGTCAATCCTTTAGCCTGAAGCTTCACTCTGAATACTGGAAGAGCCTTTAGTGTAAAACACGCCTCACTTTACTTACAGCTGACAAATACAATTTATAAGCTCTTATAATGGGTTATGAACAACACTTACAATGCATTATGTTAACAATTCATGATGCATAATAAGCATGGCTATAAAGTGTAATGCATTTCTAGAAATACTTTTAGTCATGTTTATGATGCCTTATGAAGGCATTGTAATTAGGCTTCATAACATCTTATAAAATGCAAAATGAAACTCGCTTCATTTAGGGGTCTGAAAATATACAGAACTCTGTCAGTACAGAGTCATGGTTTTGCCACAGGGCTTCATGAAGACCTTATGAGCACAAATGTGAAACTCGGTTTATTTAAAGGCCACTGAAAATATTGTCTTAACAGCCTTGCTTGTCAGGTTGTGTTACATAGTCACTATTATGTGTTTGACATGCCAAAACTAAGCTAAGCTATGAAGTCAGCTGTCATAATGTGCTGTGCCCTTTACCCTAGAAAGTGTTATGACAACCTAATGTCAACAAAGACCTGTCACTTGACACTGAAGTTGACAAAAGCAGCCTTTTTGACAGCTGCCACTTATTGGAATAAGTCTTTACAAATGTTTAGGTAGGTTTATGTCAGCTCTCATAACAGGTTTATAGTTGTCATGTAGCCTTATGAACATGATCTACAGTACAGTGTTACCAGTTCTTTAACCCTCTGTGGTCTGAGGTCATTCTCTCTCAATTTGTTCATATCTTCTTAAATCCTCCTTTAAAGGCTCTTCATATAACATGACACTCATATGCTTTATATCAAAATGCTCCGTTATCTTCATCACTATTTTCCAAAACCACTGCAGCAACTTCTGCAGCTGTAAACTCTCTGCAGCCATTTCACATGTGTCTCTGATGTGGACTGAATGAAGAATGAAGGGTTTTCGGCGTGATGGGTCAGTCCGTAGTGGTTGCCTGAGTGTCCATTGGCCAGTTTCACACAGAATGTAGATGGACACTCGAATCCACCAGTTCCACACGGTGTATCTCATGTGCAGGTGAATTCATTGACCCCAGAGGGCTAAGCTAGTGTTATGGTTTGATTTGACCAGTGTAAACTTCTATTCTGAAACTGACGGCTGAGAACAACTGGTTAAAACTGTGGTGATGCATGGCAATGATGTGTGCTGGTGTGGTACTGAAAATGGACGAATCTCACAGGAGTGGAACTCTCTGTACCTCTTTAGTGATGCATCCATCCTTATTGATGTCATACAGGTTAAAGGCCCAGCGCAGCTTCTCCGTTACTGAACCACGCAGCAACACAGACAAACCAATCACAAAGTCCTGTAAAACACAAACAAACTACTGACTCACTGTCCTCAGCACAGTTCAGTATTTCTACCGAAGACTGTCTTATTCATACCTCAAAGCGTATGGAGCCATTCCGGTCCATATCGAAGGCATTGAAGAGAAAATGTGCGTATGTGGTTGCATCTAAAAAGGCACAGTTTTGGGGAAAAACCCAAACAGAACCATAAACCAACCCTCATTATATACAGAGTCCTGTGTAAAAGTCAGAGAGCACCCTTCCTTTATTTAATTTCCAGTTAAAACAGTCATTAAGTACAAGTTATCCATTTTCAGGAGATATTTGTAAGGAGATAACATATAAGTGCACATAAGGAAGAAGAAAGTCAAAGTGAAAAAACAGGAGTTTCTAAAACTGGAGTTCAAAAACTGATTAAAATCTACAGAGAAAATGATGCTTCTAACAACCACCTGGAAGACCTGGTAGAAACCAAAACTGCCCCCATCAGATAACAGCACTTACAGCTTTCATCTTTGAGAGAGAGGAGAAAATCAAGCTGCTTCAGGTCTTAAAAAAAAGACCTCAACATCACTGAATGTGTTTGATTACTTCAGAAAATGATCAACCAACTTCTAAGTGAGTCTCCTAAAAAGAATAGAAGATGTAATAAAGGGAAAAAGTGACACACTGAACACTCAAACAGCTGAGATTAGATTTAGCCGTTCAGGCTTCTGTGTTATTTTCTGTTAAATGTGTTATCTGCTTTTTTCCTGATGCTGAAAAATGAATAACTTGTACTTAATGGCTGTTTTAATTGTAAATTAAACAAATTAAAAGTGCTCTCTGACTACTACAGTAACTGCCTTATGAATTACTTCACTTAAGCCACTAAATTTAATCTATGTCTGGATATAATGGATTTGTAATATAATTTTGATATTAACATATTAATAATTTATAATGACTTCAAACATTTGAGCTTAAAGAAAAACAGCTTACCTCCTTGAGGGAAGAACTGGGAATAGATCGTCTTAAAGGTTTCCTCATCAACTAATCCACTAGGACACTCCTGATAAGTAAATAGATTAAGTATAGGTAAATATAACTGTTATTACACTTGGAATATATTACAAATATACTACTTGATATACTGATACACTTACTGATGCTACTTATTGAGTTATACTACAAATAAAAGGCAATTAAATGTGTTCAAAATTATATTTCAGTCTCTTCTGAAAGTACTGGATGGCTAGGCCAATTCTTTTGTTCTTGCTTTCACTGAAAAGGTATTGGTTTGAGATCAATAATGAATATGAGACAAAAGATCAGAATTTCAGCTTTTATTTCCTGACATTTACTTTCAGATGTGTTAACTTAGAACATGACACTTTGTACCCACCTATTTTTCATGTAGGGTAAAAATGCAAGGTGTAACTGACAGGTGTTTCTTGTTGCCCAGTTGTGTCCTGTTAGATTAACTGGTCAAACAATTAACAGCTCTGAATGTTTGCTCTTGGTTTGAGTTCTGAGTTTCGCCTGTGAAGACTGCATTTGATGTTAAAAAGGATAAGCCAACATAAAGACCTGAGAGCTGTCTATGGGAGAAATGCAAGCTGTTTTAAAGCTAAGAAAAGAGGAAACATCAATCAGAGCCAATGCACAAGCATTGGGCACAACAACAAATGCAGTCAACAATTTAGAATGTTCTAAAAAATAATTAGAATGTGCTAAAGCATACTTTAAAAGTCATTGCTGCAGAAAATGCTTATGTTGATAGCAGTTAGGTATAATTTTGTAATATGATTCAGTGTGTTGAGAAATTGAATACATTTATTCAATTTATTTCCTTGCAGCCTAATAAAGCATAACGTAAAATGTGTTACTTTCAAAGTATATTTCGAAAAATACAGAGAACTATATTTTAGGTGATTTTCCATAAAATACAAAAAAAATCCTCATTAACTGGCTATTGAAAGCTGTGAACAAATCACTAGTTAATTAGAATTTGAAAATGCACAAATGTTTATAAATGACAGTTCATGTAGTTGTTAATGTGTTTATTCATATTTATAAATTCCATAAAAAGTTTTTTCCATCACATTTACAAAAAAACGTCCCTAATAATTAATGAGTCACAGCAGCAAAATACTGAAATGTATAATGTATAAATGTGGGTAAAATATTTATTCTTTGTACATTTTCAAATGATTTGTTCACAGCTATTAATGGTCAGCTAATGGCTTATTAAACAAAGTTATATCAAGTAATATAAGCTGAAATTCTGTGTTGCCGTCTCATATTCTTTTTTTGATCTCAAACCCAAATGAGCAAAAACAAAAGAACCGGCTTTGCCATTCCTACACATTCAGGGGAGACTGTATTATTAAGAATAACTAAAGAATTAAGAATAATAGTTTTGTCCATAATTCAGTTCATGTTTATGAATATCAGTGAGTCATACAGTGTCAGAAACCACATAATCAAGTCTATTGGAGATACTGAACATCTCCACACAGTTTGAGGAGAGTGTGTGATGATTTAGTCCTGCAGTTAGCGCCATGCTAACTGGTGCACATATAAGCTTCCATTACTTGTTAGCTGTATTAGCCTCATAGCTCCAGTGCTAAAACAAAAGAGGCAAACTTCAGACACCAAACATGTCCTGGCTAATCAACTACATTTGGGGTGAGGGTGAAAAAACTGTAAAATTGATTTTTTGGCAAAATATAAATGCTTTAATAAAGGCAGTCTCACGTTTTTGAAGCCCCTGTAGAGCGACTGGAGCTCCTTCCTAGTGAACTTAGTTTGAGCCTGCAGCTCCTCCAGGCCCTCTGGCTGGTGTCTGACCATGGCCAGCTCCAGCTCACTATCACTGCTGTCTGTTAGACAGAGAGAGAGAGAGAGAGAGAGAGAGAGAGAGGGAGAGAGAGAGAGAAAAGAGGGGGGAGAAAGGGAAAGAGAGACAGGCCGGAGATGCAAGACTTGTGAGAGGCTGAATGCAGGAGGAATAAGTAGGTGGTTGAGCACTTATGGAGGATAGAGGGTGTGTCAAAACAGGAATAAAGGAACAGTTCAGCAAACAAATCTAATGTTTTAGATTTGTTTGTCACCTTACTCCAAACACAGCCAATCAGACAAGACATGTTTGGTGTCTAGAGTTTTTAGTTTTTGCACTGGAGTTATAGAAATTAGTTAAGTTAGAAGTCAGTCCATGTTTATAGATAACAGTGAATCATACAGAGTCAGAAACCACATAATCAAGTCTATTAGAGATACTGAACAACTCTACACAGTTTGAAGTGAGATGACTTAGTTAGCACTATGCTAATTGGTGCTAATATACAGTTCCAGTATTTGTTATTTATGTTAGCCTTGTAGCTCCAGTGCTAAAACTACCACCAAACATGTCCTGGTTTGGGTAAGGGGGCAAATTTGTAAATTTGATTTAGACCAGGGTGAATTTCAGACCAGGACTAGACAGTCTCATATAACAGGAGCAACAGAGAAATCAGCAGGAAAACCAAGACTCAGAACCAAAGGTTTACAAACAGTTGATGTCAGGGAATTCTGGAGGGTTCTAGATAAGATGTGAAAAGACTGCATGGTTCTGTATAAGATGTGGAGGAGTCTGGAGGGATCTGTATAATATGTGGAGCAGCCCATAGGGTTCTAGATAAGATAAAGAGGAGTCTGGATGGTTCTACCTAAGATATAGAGGAGGGTTCTAGACTAGATGGGGAGGAGTCTGGAGGGTTCTGTATAAAATGTGGAAGAGTCTGTAGAGGTCTATATAAGACGTGGAAGAGTCTAGACGTTTCTAGATAAGATGAAAAGAAGTCAGGATAGTTCTACATAAGATGTGGAGGAGTCTGGGGCTTCTAGATTAGATTTGGAGGAGGCTGCAGGATTTTGTATAAGATGTGAAACAGTCTGGAGGGTTCTATATTAGGTGTGAATGGGTCTGGAGGTTCTTTATATAAAATGTGGAGTAGTATGGAGGGTTCTAGACTAGACGTGGAGGAGTCTGGATAATTCTATACAAGATGTGGATGAGTCTAGGGGCTCTGTAAAAGATGTGGGAAGTCTGGAGCGTCCTGTGTGTGATGTGAAGTAGTCTGGAAGGTTCTGGACTAATGGAGGAGTCTGCGTGGTTCTATATAAAATGTTAAAAGTGTGGAGTGTTCTAGATAAGATGTGGAGGAGTTTAAAGGGTTCTGTATAAAATGTGGAGGAGTCTAGATGGTTCAGATAAGATGATGAGGAGTCTGAAGAGTTCTGTATAAGATGTGGCAGGTCTAGAGGGTTCTGTTTAAAATATGGGGGAGTCTGTAGAGGTCTATATAAGATGTGGAAGAGTCTAGAAGTTTCTAGATACGATGAAGAGAAGAGAAGTCAGGATAGTTCTATGTAAGATGTGGAGGAGTCTGGGGCTTCTAGATTATATGAGGAGAAGTCTGAAGGGTTCTGTAAAAGATGTGGGAGGTCTAAAGGGTTCTATATAAGATGTGGAGGAGTCTGGAGGTACTGTACAAGATGTGAAAGAGTCTGGAGGGTTCTATATTAGGTGTGACGGGGTCTGCAGGGTCTTTACTTGAGATGTGGAGTAGTATGGAGGGCTCTAGATAAGATGTGGCAGAGTCTGGAGGGTTCTGGATAAGATGTGGAGGGGTCTGGAGGGTTCTAAGACAGAAAGTCTGGAGGGCTCTGTCTACGATGTGGAAAGTCTGGAAGGACCTAAATAAGATGGAGAGGAGTCTGGATTGTACTGTATAAGGTGTGGAGGAGCCTTGGAGGTTCTATGTAAGATGTAGAGGTGGCTAGAAAGTTCTAGATAAGTTGTGGGGGAGTCTGGGGCTTCTAAACAAGATGTAGATGGGCCTGGGGTTCTGGATAACATAAGGGTGAGTTTGGAGGGTTCTAGACAAGTTGTAGAAGGTTTTATCAGACATGCACTCACCATCTACAGTCATGAAAAAGAAAAGAACAGACAGAGAGGAAAAGGGAGGATGGCGAAAGAAGATAAAGAAGAGGTAAAAGAAAAAAGAAACACACATGTAAGTTCAATGCGGCCAAACTTTGGACACAGATTGTGTAATATAAAAGCATCAGACTGAGGCAGCAGTGTAGATCGGTTCATACATGCTTCAGTGTGATTATTTGCATTAATTAACATTATGAAGAAGATTATGAAGTACAATATAAAATATATAACACTAATAAAACAAAAAATAATATAAACAAGGCAGAAATCAGAAAAAATAAAGAACAACACTCATTTATCGGGTTGAAGTATTTTAAATTAACAAGGTAAGATAAAAAGGGCAATGCATAATGAGAATGATACGCTCAGAACCAGCCATGTTCAAAGCTTAAACGGTTATTTTAGCTTGACATCGTAACAACAGAAGAACCTTTTTTGGTGCTATATAGAACCCTTTTCAAAAAGGTGCTATATAGAACCATATACAACACATTCTCCACCAATCTGAAGAACATTCATGATGCAAAGAACTCTTTTAGCACGCAAATGGTTCTTTGAGTGTTCATGGTTCTATACAGAACCACTGTCTTTACTAAAGAACCCTTGAAGAACTGTCTTTTTAAGACTTTTTAAGATCCTAGTCATAAATTGATAATTTTTCTAACACTTTAACACTTTACACAACCGACCACGTGCTCAACGAAATGAAGGATTTAAATATTCTTCATCTTCTAGATGATGTATGTTCATATTTTCAGGTAATGTGACTTGATGTTCTAAAAAAGACGCCGATGAAGTTTCCGTTTTGTTTACTTTACGTCTTATTCTGTGAGTTTGCTGGCTGGTTGTAAAGCAGAAATCCAATTACTGCCTGACTCATGTAGACCCGGAGTTTCCCTACTATCTGATTACCCCCAAGAGCACGAAAACACACTGAACCAGTTACTGACAAAATCTGATTTTCTGAAATTATCAGATTATTAAGTAAATATAAACACACTCATTGAGTTGGGGCACAGTTTTGCTCTGGCTTTTTTGCGTACTAGGTAGCTAACTTAACTAAACTCAAAAACAACCAGGCTCTACTTCACTAGCTAACTGTTCTACTTTGAAAGTAAAGTAAGACTTTCAATAGAAATCGTTCGCCATCAGCATGCTCAGATAACTATAAAATTATCACATATGGCTAGCAAATGTTAGCGGAAGCACTAGCTGTGTGGTAGCTCTTTGTCATAGGGTTCTTGTTATAAAAATAGTATATATCAATTTTAAATTAACTGTATATCAGTTTAAAAATGGTATAAATAGTTTAGATCTACAGTCTTTTAGTCTTTCTTACTTGAGTCAAATTTGCTTTAGAAATTTTCCTCAATCTATTTGAGAACTGGAGGCAGAGGTTCTCCGGAGTCTAAACATAGAGCAACACAGAGTAAATGCACTTAAGTTTGGAAAGAGGTTCTGCAATGCAAGAACCTGAGAGAAACCGATTGAAGCAGCTGTGGCTTCCTTACCATCCAGAGACAGCGGCTCCCACAAGCCAAACTGCTTCAGGATCATGAAGAAGAGGATGATGACCACGGCCATGGCCAGCAGCTCCATCCCCTGCATCGCCATCGGTGCATCTGCCCAAGGCCGCTAATGACCGCTATACGGCGACTAATGATCAATATATGGCTCAGAAAAGGAAAAGGAGTCCAAACTGGATCTCAGAGCAGTTTCATTAATAAGAGTTCAAAGTGGACTTCAAATTAGTTTCATTAATCGTTCACTGTATCTCTTCTTTTGTATGGTCTTTCATTCAGTTTCTGTATGAAACTGTCTAAGCTGTCTTCTGCTGTTGCTCATGGAGCCGATCAGATTTTCCAATAAATCATCATTCCCAAGTTTTCCAGAAGAAATTCACATCACAGATAGTGTTCCATTCCTCCAAACAAACTCATGAGGCACAGGTTTAAAGACGTTTTTATAGAATAAAAGTGAAAACACTCCTCAAAACTTCATAAACTCAAACCATGTAAAACTGTTCTATTTGACTTTCAGATGATTCCTGGAAGGTTTTACTCTTGCAGCCGAACATATTTTTCCAATAAACCATCATTCCCAAGTTTTCCAGAAGAAACCCAAAGGCTTAAAGAAGTTTTCAAAGAATAAAAAGAAGGAAAAAACACAAAATGTCATAAACTTATCTTCAGTTGATTCCTAAAAGATTTTCCTTTATGCAGATAATCTGATTTTCATCATTCCAAAGCTTTCCAGAAGAATCCGGCTGCTCACTCACTCAACTTTCTGCTCAAAAAGCCTCACTTCATCGCTGTCCTGAAATCCGTCAGAGCTTTCTGCCATGTGCCAGTTTCACTGCATCTTCCATAGAGACCACTCCCAGTCCAGCAATTACACACAACCATCAGCTCCACATAATGCACTCTCTCTCTCTCTCTGTCTCTCTCTCTCTCTCTCTCTCTCTCTCTCTTCCTCTTTCTAAGAAGTAATGGAAGCTGGACCAATTAGCACCGTGTAAACTTTGGACACAAAATATGTACATGAGTAAGAACCACTGAGAGGAACCAAGACTCAAAAGGAGAAACTCCCTAAGAGAATGAGGGAGAACAACTGAGAGGAACTGAGAGGCAAAAGGAGAAACTACCTAAGAGCATGAGGAAGAACCACTGAAATGATGTTCCTACAAAGATTGTGTTTACTGAACCACACGGTGCAAGAGATCAAGACAGTGCAGCTCAAAATACTAAATCACAATACAGTAAGTACACAGAAGTGCAAAGTAAGACTCAAAGCCCAACAATACATAGATTACATAACAATACTCAGTACTAGACAGTATAAGACAGATGTGAATACTGTAAAAATAATACTGACCTGAGCAGTAATTACATATAATCCATAATGGCAGAATTATGCCATTACAGATGCAATCAAAACTGTCGAATTTCACCAAAAGGAATGCTGTAAGCACCATAACACACTTGTACATGTTCAGCTATGATGCACTGATATGGGCATTCTGGGCCGATTCATGTACACATCTGCTGATAGTAACATATACTGTACATATACAGTTTAATTTTCGCTCAAAATGGCCATTAAGTACAAAAAAACAACAGAAAACAGATATGTAATATATAATTACACAGAATCCTCAACAATTAAATATAATTTGTTTGAGTGTATCACTCAGTACCTTTATTCCAGCTTCCATTCTTTTCAGGAGACTCACTTTCAGTTTCTCAAAGAAATCTGCAGACACACCTCCAAAGTTCAGCCTTAGAAGTTGGTTGATCATTTTCTGAAGTAATCCAGGCACATTCACATTTCATCTCTCGAAGATGAAAGCTGTAAGTATCTGATGGGGACAGTTTTGGTGTCTACCAGGTCTTCCAGGTGGTTGTTAGGAATTTTCTCTGTAGCTTTTAATCATCTTCTTAACTCCAGTTTTAGAAACTCACTTATTTTCCTTTGACTTTTTCTTCCTTACGAAAGTGGATTACCTTATAACTAATCTCTTGAAAATATCTCCTGAAAAATCAAAAACTTGTACATGTGGCCATTTTGACTGGAAATTAAATAAATAAAGGGTGGTTTCTGACTTTTGCACAGTACTGTACAAATTTTAGCACAGCAACCCAGCATCACCTAAGTGCAATCAACATATCATCAAATATCAGTTTGTAATATTGGCCAAATCTACTCTGTCTGTTTGATGATGATTATTTCTTTAAAAGCAATTATCTGTTGATATCGATATGACTCAGATATCATTGTGCATCCCAACATTCAACAAATAATGAAGAAGATAATGGGGCAAAAGATAGCAGGGGAAAGTGATCAAATGGACGACTGGAATCCCAGTATAGCCCACTATGAACACATTTCCAGAGGCGCACTGTGAAAACAGACCTGTACTGTTTAAGTTTGAAAACACACTTATGAACAAACTCCCTCCCTCCGTTTCCACTCTACTCATCCTCAGTATTAAAGTGGCTAATAAAGTAGCTGAATGTTTTTACTCTGATCAGATTCTCCTGCATCAGCGGAAGGCCATTATGCAGCTCTAACGCTCCTGTAAACCAGGCTGACTCAGGCATTAGCTAAACCTCTACAGTTCAGCCCTGTTCAAATCACAACACCGATACATTAATCACTCAGCTTAACGCAGAAATGTTTACGTCTGCAGGTTTGCAAACACTTATCACTACTTTTGAACACTTAAAGAAATGATCTGGCCAAAAAAATCAGACTTACACCATTTCCTCTTAACCTGAATGTAGTCAACAAGGCTAACATAGCTAACAAGTAATGGATAAATGGCTAATAGTTAGCATGGTGCTAACTGCAGGCCTAAATCATCACATACTCACCTCATACTGTGTTAAGTTGTTCAGTATCTCTAACAAACTTGATTATGGAGCTTTTCACACTGTATGACTTACTGTTCTCTGTAAACATGGACTAAAGTACATTAGCATCGCTAAAAATAATCATCTTTAAGTCTCAATTATGTCTCTACTTTTGTCTGTTTCCTACGCAGCAACTTACTCGACTCAGTTTAAGCCAAGTGTGTGATGATTTGTACATGCAGTTAGCACCATTTACTAAAGAACCCTTGAAGAACGTTCATCCATCCTTTTTAAGGCTCTATGAACCACTAGAGGTGTACTTGTAAGGAGCTGATAGTGCGGCTCTGAAAGCGCGGTGCTGTAGGTCTGCAGCTGGATACTGCCGAAACAATGGACCTCATTCACAAACGATTCTTAAGAATTAACTTCTTTTTAAAACCTACTTATGCAGTTTAACAAAGACTCTGACATTCACCAGTGTTTTCTTATTTGGGTTTGTTCTTAGGTAAGAACAGAATCTACACACACTCAAGAGCACAAAGGTCAGAACAGTTCTGCGCTTTAAGCTGACTTTTCCTTAGAACCTTTCTGAAGGACACATTTAAGAACAAACTCAGGAAAATATTGGAGAATGAGGCCTAATGAATTTAAAATGGGCTGCAGGTTGTTTTCCATTAATGGACTGCACGGACTGGGAAATGATTGTGTTTTAAAATGTTTACATACTGCATTGAACTGTTATATTACAAAAAAGGCAAAAAAATTGTATTTGCATGTTATGATGTAAAAGAGGAGCATACTAAATACAAAGAAATTTTGAAATTCATGTAAATAGTTGCAATTTCAATTCACTATGCTGATTATATAATTAGTAGTGAAAAAAAATTATGAAATTAGAAAAAAATGATGTAAAATAGAAGCATTTGTACCACTAAACTGACTGTATACAGTAACTCTAGACTGCTCTCTGAATATGTGCATGTTTATGACCTGACTTCACATTTATTAATATATGACTCTGACCAGGAGCCAGCAGTGCTGGAGGATCAGTAACAGACCAGAGGGCTGACCTGAGCTGTGGTCAGAAACCCGTTTCTGACAGAAAACAGTTTTGTTTCCCCCTTGACCTGAAATGACCTTCGGAAAATGTATGATAAGTCAGAAATTGAGATGACAGTGAGGTATCTAAGTGCGCAAGATCTGCTCATCAATCAGGAAACATTAATGTTATATGTAGTTAATAATTTAGTTTTAAATTTATGCATCATAAGCACGCTGTGCAGCTCAGCACAAAAAGCTGCAGAGAGGAGGTGAGGGCTCTTAAGGAGATGGACGCAGAGCCCCGGCAGCTTCAGCTCATCTCCACTGTGAGTTAAGCAGTCCAACAGGAGGCCTAATGACCTGATGGACCTGTTAAAGTCCAGCAGAACACAGGCTGGACCAAACTGAATGAGCTATAGACTTACTGAGAGTTACTGTAAAGAAGTCCACAAAGTAAACAAAAAAATGTAATAATGATACTTATAACTTGGATAAATGATGATAAAAATAATATATATTTTTTTTAATATTTCAATTATAAATAAAAAATTGAAAAATAAAAAATGTAAAGACTCTACTATTTCTTTCATTTTGAATGTTATTAAAAAATTAACTATTATCACTTTAGAATGTATTATTACTAAGAACTATTATATTTATTGCTGATAAAAGTACTTGAACTGCTTCATTATTTAGGCAGCTGCTTATACCACTGTTATTACTATTAGCAAAAAATCATCTTATTCTTATTATTAATATTACCTACTACAACTAATTATAAGAAGTAAACTATAATAAGAATATGTTAAGGTTAAAATGAAATATAGATACATACATACATCATCTAAACCGCTTATCCTTCTGGGGTGCTAGAGCCTATCCCAGCTGTCATTGGGTGGAAGGCAGGATACACCCTGGACAGGTCGCCAGTCCATCGCAGGGCATAAAATGAAATAATTTAGAAGAAAATTATTTTTTTTACACTGAGAAAAAATATAATTTAGTTTTAAGCTTAAATATGAGGGCGCCACCTGGCGGACACAACAATTGGCAACTCCTGGTTTTCTGCTTCAGTCATTAATAGAAGTGCTCAGCAGGAGGTGCTCTGCTTCTTTGTTTTTTTTTTTTTTCCAACAAAATTAAAGTAACCAGAGATTTTCTCTAATATGATGGTAAAACATCCCCTATGATGCCATACAGAAAAGTTAAACTCTTGAGTTTATTACTTTTCTATAATGCATTATGAAATCAAAATTACACAATAATACAGATATAACGTTCTAGAGCAGTGGTGCACAAGTTGCCTTGAGGACCAAATGCGGTGTTTGTGGTAGCCCGAAGGCCAAAAAGACAAAATGGAAGCCTACCGCCCACCAATTAGCATCGCTAACTGCAACTAACGCTACATTCACATGTTTGCGGTAGATGGACAGCAAACTGTATGTTCCACAAAGCTGCAATGGAAAATTCTGTCACCCCAAGCAGCAACGGTCTTCAAACCGCAGTGGTAAGTAGAAAGCTCTGCCAAGAGTTCAATTCTCTCAGTTTTTTCCCGAAAGGCTGCAGCAGTGGCATAAACCGGGTTTTGATTATTTTGGGAGTTGTTGATGCCAGATGTCTTGCTGTTGGATTCCAGACGAACCCAGTATTATACACAACAGTCATAAAAAGCTTAGTGTAAAAATTCTACTGTCTATAAAATATACACACATCATAGTGGGGGGGGGTTAACATTTTCTCAGGGGCTCAGCCATGTCTTTGTTCGGGCCTGTCTGTGTGTGCAGTGAATCTGAACATGAACACATGACGAATGTCCTCCATTCAGTCTGCCAGATGCATCAGTCTAATGTGTGATGTGGTCTGTTCTTATAAAACTGTGCTCTGTTCAATTAATTCACTCATCTCATTTCATTCATATTATTACATTTTAATACCACCATCGTCCTCCTTTGTGATATGAAACCCACAGCCACTAGAGGTCAGTGTTGAGCAGATTAGGTCTCTGTTCTTTAAAGCAACATAAAAGCTTCAAGC